TTCTCTAGTCTTTTCTCTCCCACACTGAAGTTCAGGTTGTTTCACAAGCTCATTAAGCACATTTTCAGCATTCCCCTCTTGCCCCAAATGGAAGTTGTCTCTGTTATTTCTTGGCTGTTTCTAATTTGCCAGAGAATCAGTCCTGATGTACACTGCCACAGAGCTTATATGCCAAAGCACCACCAACAGCATGAACGCTCAGCTTCAGAAAAGAAGTTTCACCACACTGCCTTCTTAGGCATATCAAAGATTAAAACCATACCACGTCACAGAATCAGACAGAGACATTTTAAACAAATCACCACAAAAATTTCCTTTTCCTCCTGTGACCACAGTTTGCCAAGCAGGCCACAAACAGCGGGAGGAAAAAGCTCCTTCTTCACCCTCAACATACCTCTGCACCCCGCGAGGAATGCCCAACTTCTTGCCCAACAACCTCTCACTACAGCAGTCCACAAGTCTCTTGAGGGTGTAGAGACACTCGCGGAAGGTGGAGAAGAAGGGGTAGTGGCTGAGGATGCAGAGGGAGGTGAGGGTGCTGTTGCGGGAGCGGCGCCCGCCTTTGCCCAGGCGCTTGCTGCAGGGCGAGCGAGCCCCCTCTGGCTGGGACTCTGTGCTGGGAGCCTGCAGATCCCCGCATTTGGGGGTTTTCTGTCCCTCCCGAGCTCGATGGCCCCCGGGGCCTTCCCCTTTCTCCTTGGGCACTCGCTTCTGGAAGGAGCGGTAGAAGTTGAGGCAGATGCCGTAGCGCGTGACGCCCGTGTCCTTGTCGGTGAGGGTGAAGACAAAGGAGGTGTCGTCGCGGAAGCTGGTGCGCCTCTGCCTCACGCTGAGGCATCCCTCTGGCTGGCAGAAGAACACCACGTCGGGGGGCAGGGGAAAGTCCACGTGGTCCTCCAGAGGGTAACGCCGCAGCAGCTCGGGAGTCTGAGCGACGCTGTCGCTGCTCGGCTGCCTACAAAAAGCACATAAAAAAGCCTCAAGAGTTGATTCCTGTCAATAAAAAGCTCGGGGGTCTGCCCGCTAATGTCAGGAGCCTGTGGGCTCAGCGCCATCTTTGATTCTTTTCTCCCCTTTCCCGGTCAGCAGCCACGATGCTCAACGCAGAAAAGTTTAATAAAACAAGTCTATCCCATCATTATCAAAGCCCAATAAGGAGACTGGTCAAATCTGACTGAGAAAAGGACTTTCAGGAGCATGCTGTTCCCAGGAGGATGTGGTATTATCATGTTTTCCTGACTCCAAAATGAATTGAACCACACAGGTCAACGCCTGGGTAGGAAATATACTGTCCCTCTCCAAATATACAGTTAGATAGAAACCCTCTGGATTTCAGCCATTATAAATGAGAAAATCCAGTTATCAATTCCTAAATGGGAGAACCAAGAATCTATTAGGAAATAACTCAGAAAAATGGTGGAATGATATGGACTTCAGCCTGTAAAATCTTCATCAAAAAGTTCTAGCAACACTAAAGATAGATAGATAGATAGATATATAGATATATATAGATATATATTTCCATGTTGAATTTTCAAGTGGGATTTGAAGTGTAAGTTACTGTAAGAGCAGAGTAGTAATACACAGACCTATTTAACACTGTCTCTCACCAACCTTTGTACCACAAATCACTAATGGAACACAAAGACAGAAAGGCAATACTGTTTTTTTCCTAATTTTCCACCAGAAGAACAGATTCTTTCAAGGTACTATTTTCCTAGCACTAGTTTTCCATGAAAAGAAACAGTAATAAAGTAAAATTCACACACTAAAGAAAGAAAAATATGTCCTCAGAACAACCTCCCTTTTGTTTGACCCCTTTGCTATAAAGTCTGATCTCTTAACTTTTTCTAAACTAATTAGCATTTAGTATCATTTACTAAATGATATATAAAGGAGACCTGGATCCACTATCACTGCTATAGGATCTCATACATTTTCTCACCTTGCTATTTTAGATTTGCCCATTTCAAAGTACAAATGTCATCTTACTTGAGAGGTAAGAAAACCCCAAAAAAATACTTATTTTATTTA